TGACTGCAAATTGAATGTAACTCTGAAAATCATGAACTTGTATAATTTTTGAGGCACAGCTTTAGCAGTTAAAGCTACTAGACCTCAAAGCCTAACTCCGCGTCTAACTGAACGTTGTTGTCATCGTTTACTTTTTAGAACTGCTTGTATGCCTTTTGAAAATTCTTTCAACGAATCTTAAGACTGTTGAGGATGCAGGGCTAACAAAACTGTAATAACAATTTTCCAAATTGGTGCTTCAATTCGGCACTGTAAATGGTGGTCAGATCGAAATCAATCATCGTTCGCTGTTGCAAAAAGGGCTGCATTAAAGATAAGTTTCTAAGTTTTGCATGGCTGCCATGGATGGCGCATCTGTGGCCAACGATTGGCTCGAACAAGAACTTATATTTAAAAATTAACTCAACTTTTTCTTGGACTATTTTGGCAGTCCAGGCCAGAAGCGAGTCTTTAAGTTCTTCCGACAGCATTTTCAAACCAGGGATCGTCGATATTCGTTCAGTTATGACGGGATTGTATCACTGCACTTTGAGGATATTTCACGGAAACCGTTTCCTGTATGTTCTGTAAAATTTGAAATTCATCAACGCAAACCGCAATGCCTGTTTAAAGCCACCTGTTTACGTTAGGTTCTGGACATACAGTGGACGTATCAAGAAAGAGACCAGTATCCGTACTATTTCGCCAGACGTGAGCAACGAAAGAAGGAAGTAATTGAAGCCTGGGAAAAAATAAAGCAGAGTTGGAAGCCTGTTCCGAGAGCCTGATTTGAATTTTCAGTTCGTTGTTGTGTGTGATTTGTAACAGTAGTGAACGCTGCTGCAGTAGCTAGCGATTTTATTTATTCATTAAACATGCCTAAATTTCTTCTTTGATCTCTGAAACTATGGCGGCAGGCATCATCCCAGCTTTCTTTTGCTTCTTTTCCTCTTTTTGTTTCAGAACTGACGGTCTCGGCTTTTTGTTCGAATGTTTAAGCTTGTGAAACTCCATTCGAATGATGCGATTACGCTAAAAATCACTTTAGCAAATCACTTCTCACGCACTAATAGCATTACCATCTGTTTCGCCTTGCGCAGCTTATACCGTTCGTAATCTGACAACTTGCTTCTCTAAAAATGTTAAATTATTCAGTATTATCATATATCACAAACAAAAATTCACTGGAAAGATAGTATCATGGTAACTAAAGTAAGAGTGAAAGCGAACAAGGCAATGCGCAAGATCAGTAAGTAGCTAAAAAATCAATGCGGCGCAATTCACATCCAAAGCATGATGATCCACCTTCCAGATCTAATACTTTCGTATATTGTTTTCCGCATTTATATAATACAAATAAACAGAAATATTAAAAAAACGTTCATTCAAATCGCCATCGGCTATACAAAAAATTTTCGAGCAAACTGTTTAAAGGTCTAAATTTAAAATGCTATCCATTGTTCAGCTTTGGCGTTTCCACTGCGGACAGCGAGCAACCACACTTCTGTCTTTCCGTTAACCCTGGAATAGTCGGCGCAAGAGGCTTTGGTAATCCGGAGTAATTCAGAGCTTTTTACACATTTTAAGTTAGTTATGTTTAGCAGATCGTGATGATTAAAACCCGGCGGAAGGATCGGGAGCCATCGTCAGTATTGGCCCTCGGAGACAGAACTAAGATGTTTCAACCATACGATCTGGCTTCCGATAAAGAATTAAGACGGGTAGGAAGAACAGTAAATATTAGTATGGAGAACGCTTGGTGGGGCGATATCAAGTGAAAAGAAAGAAATACCGTTTGAGTTGCCCGAGAGATCTACTTATTGAAAGTTCTACTTTAAAATCGTCATTCCTCTAAACGGACGATAGCATTTGTTTTCGGCGGTGGTACGACGTGAAAAAGACTTCCTCAAGCCGTGCTATCCGGAAAACATCTAAAACCCTCTAAGATTTCACAACCGACAGCCGGCAGAAACGAAGAGAAAGGAGAAGATAAATCTTGGCTAAAGAGGATCGTCTTGATCCCAGTACCGAATCGCTCATTTGATTCTATTCAGTGAGACGGCCGGAACAAAATTAAGCAGGAACGCTCGGCATCCGCAGAAAGCCTGACTGTCTGGTATTCAAATATTACATACTAGAGGCACTGACGTATATTTACATACATGATATATCAGTGGACATGTGACAACCACAAAATTATAGTTCTATTCGTAGCTATAACAGTGAGGTTTCGAAAGGGTCACGCCTTGTAATTCTGCACTTTTCTACTCCAAACTGTACTGAGCATAATAGCTGCAGCAGTTCTCAGATCTGTGAACGATACAACCGTCATCGCTTATACCGGGTGAAAGATGATATGGTAAATTCAAGATGGCTTAGTATTAAACAAAACGAATGTTAAAACAAAATTTTAATACCTGCCCTTGAACTGTAAACAGCAATACGTGTCTTTCAGAGGAACTAGAATAAGTGGCTAGACTAGACTACCTACTCATCGGTTTTAAAACTAAGTCACTGAACCCATCTAAATCTTTATGAATTTATAAAAGACTTTAATTTATTGTTAAACAGTTTAGTATGGATCCAGAGAGTGCATGACGACCTTTTATCCAGAGCAAGATTGCAATGGCTTTTGCATTTTAAGGATGAAAACCACTAATAGGATAGTTGAAATTTGGTACAGTTACTCTCCGATTAATAAATCAGCCTTTATTAGTTTTGCGTCCACGGCTTGGCTCAGCAGACAGCCCAGTATGGCTATAATTTCGATAAAGGCCTAAGTGCTTAATAAAATATCTAGAATACGATGTCTCAAAGTGGAATTTACAGGAAAAGGGCAAAGCAGGCAGTTTCAAACGCCTTTTATAGCAGAAACGGGTCACTGATATAATGGCATTTCCCTTCTGCTTAGTGACCTGGCAGTTCCGTTATGACTGCCTCTAGAACATTTCCCTTTTTCTATCTAGCTATTTGGGATTTTCTGGATTTTAGTGACAATGATTTCTCGTAGCTTACAAGTTAGTTAGCTAAGTTGCTTAGAGTAAGTTTCATGTAGCTCACAAGACAAAACTTGTGTGTAATTAACAAAGCTGAGGAATGATAGCTTGTCGAAAAAGGGCTTTTTCCAATTACTCGGATGTTCGTGATTGCGTCCCCTGTACTTCCGCCGACCTTGAATTCAGACTTATGGTTCGCAACCTTGATCTACACTTCCCCTCGCTTTCTTTCCACGAATTTTGACAACCGCGAAACCAGTGAAGCTGTTCTATAGTACGAACAGTAAGTGAGGTCGCCTTTTAGTTGACGAATGAACACAAAAGCGTCCAGTCGTTTGATTAACGTCACATGCGCCACACATCTAAACAGATGTGACCAACGCCGTAATTATAATGTTGTGGCCAACTGCTCTTTTGGAATGCTATACATGTTCGCATACTCTGAATTTATGGCGCCCTTGACGTATGATCGACATTACCGCTGCAAGTAGCCGCCTTGACCACACAAGATCATGGGACGAAGATCTATGTCAGACATTTTAGAGCCCGGAATAAAACATAAGTTCGTCTGTTACACCGACTTTGTTCGACATAGTCACATTCGCTGAAAAACTTTTCTGTACATCAGGAGTGCCGGCTATTTATGACATATGTCAAACTACTTTCGAAACATTATTCTTAAGCTAGCGACAACAGGTTTGATTCATATTTCTGTGGCCTTGGACTTTACGAGGTTGCGCGCTGCATATTTACCATAAACATTAATGCTTAACCCATAAAAGTGTCGACATCATCACACATCATTTTTAAAGAAGCAGTTTAAATGTCTTACACATAAGAAACTGTGCTGAGACATACCAGTTCAAACATTTTCCTTTTCTTTGCGAATGTTGTTTCTGCAAACTTTTCATTGATTTTTTCGGCCTTCCATATGGCCATCAACTTCTTTGGCGATATCAGGTGATGGATATTCAGAAGGAACTTCGTAAGCCGTAAATTTCTGAACTTGAATGCCCCTCGCGGAACGCCCGGACCTTGACACAGCGCCTAAAATATGAACCTCGTTCAGAGGTCAGCAAAGCATTGGCGTCTAAAAGTAAGCTACGTCTCAAATCTGCGAGAACGATATGAAATGAATCGCAAGCCGCTCAGCCTGCTTAAACTGTCCCTGAAGTAAAACCCAGGAATAAGAAAGCCGTGCCTAACGCTGAAAAACCCGGACTTTAATGAGTATTTCTTTTCACATACGCCAAAGTACAAATCAGTATTTTTGACGTTGCTTTGAAAGTGTACCAACTGTCGGGCTGCTGAAATGTTGTGATAAGCAGTGGGTTGCTACAGCCAACAAGAACAGTGCGAAAAAAACTACGCTTAGTAGGAGCTAAGACACCAGGGGACAGCGACGATATGTTCAGGGAAAATGCCCCCTAAACATTTAGGGGCACGACGACGGTACAAAAACTCCATAACATCGATCGAAAAATATCGAAGGGCGGTTATTTTCAATACTAAACCCGGCAATGCTAACCTCACAGCTGAAATGATGCAAACCCTAATCGTTAGGAAGCTACAGTCTCAGAGAAAAATCATTACCACTGAGCAGCTAGCAATTTTCCTTCATAGAGCATCATTTCTGCACTAGAGATCGCCTAAAAAATTAGCGCTTCATATTTCTCTGTATTTACGGTACGCCCGTTTGTTATTGCTAACAATTTTACGTCAACCTTTATCGCGCTGATTATTTCTAGACCCTCACTCGAGTTTCTTCATCACCATCGGCAAGTCGTTGCGTCATTTGAGTCCAGACCATCCGAGACTACTGTTAATCAACTCAGAGGCAAATTTAATGGAATTTCGAAGGAAAACATCGTATGTTGTCACACCTGCTAGCTGACACATCAACTTTAGCATCCTAAATCTTCAATGAAACTAAAGGAACCTCGTGTACCCAGCCCCGCATAACATCCGCCCAAAACAACAGCATCAGTTACATAACTAGCGTATTGACTCCTTCCACTGTCACAAACGAACCACAACCCTGTAATGTGGTATCCAACAAAATGCGATGGCGAGATGGTCAGAAGATTTTCCACCAAAAAGATAGGTGTCAGTGTAAAACTGCTTGGTATTAAGAACTGAAATAACACTTCACTCATATCAACACCAAGCGCTGAGTTACGGATACACTACCGAGGAACAACTTCATATATGATAAAATGCAAATTTATCCGAACGCATCGGAAGGCTTCGCCTCACTATACATACCAGTCTTTCGTATTTCAGCTACTATAAAACATAGGTCACTTCATGGGTGGTCATATAAGATATACAAGCATGAGAAAAACAAGCTGAGATGGGTTATAAAATTCAAATTTAATAAATTTAGAAACTTGCTAACGACACGGTCATTCAACGTGTCATCGTTCTCTTGCATAACAAATGCTCTTGAACTTCTGTAACAGTTGATACTGCTTATTAGATCTGCGGCTACCAGTCCGCTAACGTAATCTGCAAATGCTGCTGAACGCCGATAACAGCGTAAGCGTGAACAACAACTACTGAGGGTGAAATTCCATTTTCACAAAATGTATCAACAGCGCATAGCCTATCATTCACCCTTGCAGTGGTCTCTCTCCCAGGACCCTGAACCGCCGAGCATTCTATACGAAGCTAAACATTAAAAATTTGCATACTGCAAAGTGCATATGATGATCCAATCTACATATTCTCTATTCAGAGATTTTCAGCGAGTGAATGGGACTAAACTTTAAAACACCCGCTTCACGAGGCTTCTAATCTCCCCGTACAGGCCTGCAGTTACATTGTCTTCCTCCTGCATAGTTTTGCATTATAGGTAAGATGAAATCCAAACGGTCATGATTACTATTTACTCGACAGTTCATCATTTCTGAATCTAATAGTGAACTAAACATTAAGCTACATCAACTTATGAGATAGTTTCCGTACGAATTATGGTAGAACATGACCATCAAGTCTCTCAACAATCATCAACCATAAAGTTTCCTAATAAATTATGGACCGACGAAACAGTAATAATCAGACATTTTGAGGTTTAAGAAACAGGTATTCAGTCATCGGCATTCAGCACAATTCGCAGATTAGCCAAGCATACAGGCCGCTTTGTGAACTTTTCTCCTGCATCAGTAAGAGAACAGGAAGAATAGCACGAATTCCACGGAATACAAATTTCAAATCCATGTCCTATACAAAGAAAAAACGATATAACGTGGGGTAATAAACCGGGATTTTCAAAATTTTCTAGAGTTCGGCTTCACTATCGGCATAAATAGGTGATCATGTGCTAAGATGCCGAATAAGATCAAAAATGATAGCTCATCACTGATAGTACTTAGATCGACTTGGTCTTCAAGGCCATGATGGCTACTGCCTCGATATTCCATCTTCTCCTAGTTTATTTGAGGGCATTGTGCTTACAATCTTCATTGATGCAAATAAGCATGATACCGTACTTCGGTGATTGTTCCTTCTATAAGATCTAGAAACGAAGCTTGACTGATGGAGACCGGTAAGATATACGCATGACTGTAAACAGTGACAAATTCAAAAACAAGGACATCGAAAACGTGCCACTACTACCCGTGTCCTCTAAAAGAAGCAGAAATCAACTGGAAAGGTATAGAGTTGGTACAGTCAAATGTTTTTTCAGGAAATCAACGATATTCTATCGGAAACTAATACAAGACTACTGAGACAGCAATGTCAGACGTTCTTAAAACTTCTGGAAACTACGGGCGATTATGAAAACTTTTGAAACAACAGTGCGTAACAGATTCTAACTTTCGCATGCAAACACATCTTCACTTAGAAGCAGCGAATAAGGTTAAGGTACAAAATGTCGCACACTTAATCAATGCAAAAATAAATTGATTAACTGCGATATAACAGTTTCTATTGCGCATCTGTTGATAAAGTTAAACTGAAGTAGAAACTTGCACACCATTTGGTTTACCTGTCTCAACAAATTAAAACCCCCCTCCTAAAATCGAACTTCATCGCATATAACTAGCAACATCACTTAAAGCAACAATACGCAAATCTTAGAAGCAAAACAGACTGCAAACAATAACCAGCAAAAAACCTCTCACTCTATTAGCGTCGATGATATTGACGATTGCAACAAGTTTTCCCTTCTGCGGGCCATCTGTTATAATGCACACCCTGCCGATCCTTACCATAAGATTATAAGTCTATAAAAACAACGAAGCATTAATAAATCAATGCTTGTTTGATTCAATGTAAAACTCAAAACTTGGCATTACCATTTTTCCTTCAATCCAGGAATATATGACACGAACAAGCACGGATTCTAAATCAACCAAGTGTACCACCAAGCTGCACGTTACTGTATCAAAACTTGCAAGATACAATTAACGTATGACAAAACACATTACATGTTACGGCTGATTGACATGTAATTTACTGTATTTGTTTAATGTACAAGTGCATTCTGAATTATGAACACTTACCACGACACGAAAATCCTTTATTCAATTCCGGACTATCTCCTCTGCATGTTCTGTGAGATTAGTGCCAATGCATATTCGCCATAAGCACGTTTCCCACCTCTTGTCTTCCTTTCCTATGATCCATAAGCTATAAATATTCATAATTTTTCCTCTCAGGAAACAGTGTCCAGTTTAAAACGCTTTCACTTAAAAAAGGAGTTCATGACTTTGATAGTAAAGCTGCACACTATTCACCAATTAAAATAACATTAATAGCTAGGAACTAAGAATAATGAATACTTGCAAAAGATTAGCAAAGGTGATATGAGGCTGCAAAACCTTAGTGGCAATGAATCGGACGTTTCAAGAAAGTCAAACAAGATTTTCATCATAGGGTACGTCGATTTGATCCAGAGAAACAATAAGCGCCAAAAGAGACAAAGAAAGTGATGGTGAGCAAGGCTCTTCAGTTTCTTGCGTACGAACAAACTTCCCAGAGGATGAGGCTCAATGAAGAATTCTTGGATTGGTCTTCTTCAGCGGCACACTGCAATCGACTGGCGATTGCACTAAAAGCTGATGGCTTTTACTGCATATTCAAGCAATATAGCCTGTCAATTAACTGATCTAACGAACAGTGGACCTGCCACGACCAAAACCAGCAAAACGATAAATTTGTGTACTACCTCTGACGACTACGCCACCTGGGAGGTGGCGTTTCTCTCAGTAATCGAAGTGTAACCTAGTCCTTTAATATTCAGAGATGTAACTGCTCTACTCGGCACATTTCGTATGGCTGCAAGAATCGTGATTTTGCTATCATACGGGGATTCAGCAGTGGAAACTGAGGGGAGTGCGAAATGCAGTGGGCTAGATATTTCTTTGCATTTTGGAGATTCCGAGTTCAAGCTCCACGCACGATTAAAACTTTCTTTTATTCGCCGCACATTCCCTGTAGCTAATACCCCTGTACTTTGATGCAACCGGTCGAGGCACAAATAGTATGTAAATCATTTGCAAATGACAGCAACATAGTACTTTGGCGTGGTCACATCAAGTGTTGTGACACACGGTCATGCTGTCTGATGGATATGCTTTGCGGCTAAAATTCGTTTTCACCTGCATGTTAATTCATGTTCCCAGAAGCACAGAGTCTAAATCGCAAATGATATTTGGAAACTACTTAACTGAATGAACCAGTGGACTCTTCAAAATCGATTCGTTGGCCTCGCAGCTATGGTTGATCAGGGATAGATGGATGAACGCCACGACCTATCAGCGGGCTTACTGATCCTTCTAACTACAGTCTTTTCTCCTTTACCATAATGAAATAGAGCACCTGTGATTAGTTCATGCGCTTTTGCGATTTCCAGACCTTAGTCGAAAGTTGTTCTACAAATGTCAATTTCCATTAACGGCGAAACAAAGACAGAGAAGAACGGAGTTGCAAGTAACATTTACTCCATAGAGCTAAGCTGCTTTAGAATTTCTGGGTTTGTTTTAGACAAACTGAAGAACCATGCCGATAGTTCTTAAGTCTTGGTTCAATAGTTTTTTATTTTGTATTTCTTGTATTGTTAACTTTACCTGGGAGGCTTAGTAACGTTATGCCCTTATAATTGGAGCATTCCTTGTGGTCTCCCTTCTTG